GCGGCCTGGCCAGCTCTTTAGCACCTCCGCCCCTCCTACCAGTCTCTATGCTGTTCCCACCTTCAGTCCTTGGGTATCAGGGTTCTCTCCTGTGAGTTTTCCGTTGATTATTCAGGAAGCCTTCTCGTGTTTCAGTTGTAATTCCAGCTTGTTCCTGGGAGCATGACCATGCAGCATCCTCCTACTCTGCCGCCATTTTTAATCTCCTAACATTGAATTTTAAATTATTTTCTTTTCAATCTTGTTTCCTCATAAATGAAGTTAAGGTCTTCAATATCTTCAGAGTTTCATTTTGACCATTCCTCAAAGTATCAGGGAAATGTTCGTGTTTTATTTTCTAACTGGTGTATAATTTGAATTCTGATTTTCTAATTTAATTTACATTAAGAATTACTACTTGATTTTATATCCCTTCTAATTAAATTATGTTTGTAGAATGTTTTCAGAGAAATTAGTGTGAATTATTTTGTACATGACATATATATATTTAAAAAGATTTTTCACCTTTACTTTCAACAAAATTTATTTTAATATTATTTAAACAGTATTCGATTTCTCTATAAAATTATTTTGTATGTGCTCGTTTGTCTAATTTTTTGAAAGATTGGTGTTAAAATTAATTTTTCTTTTTAAAAATGTTATTTCTCATAATATTCTTTAACACTTATATATCTAAATACCTGAATTATTGACTTCTAATTTCATACATCTGATCCGTTGAGTCAGCAAAGCCTATCAGCTCAATTTTCAGATTTTCTTTTTACCTTTTAACCTTGCAACATATTTTTGAAGGGTCTAAAGCACATATCATATGTTAGCCTTCTGCTTTGTATCCTTGCTTTCTACCAAGCTTTCCATAAAGCACAATTATATTTTTGTTGAATCAGGTGATGTAACTCTCCTTTTTAAAGATTCCTAATAGCTTTTCAATTTGAATAAAATTTAAACAGGCTTCTATCACATAGAGGGTCCAATGAAATCTATCTTTCTAATCTCATCTGTATCATTATTTATAGGGAATTTGTGTATATGTTTGTAAACATATTAGCTCATTATCTTTTGAGGAGAGGACATATGTATTGTATTAACATATTTGCTCTATTTCTGATTATTGAAAATGACTAAGTATCTATTCCTTGAAAAAGTAAATACATTCCCAACCTATAAAAAAGTGGTAGAGAGGTACTTATCTTAAAATACCCAGTTTAGAATAGAATATTGTCATCATTTATTAAGGAAATTCTCTAACATTTCAATGTTTATTTTTAACAGAAATGCTGATGGGATTTTCCCTAATATCAGTTACTTATGGCGCTATTCACTGCAATATACTGGCCATGCAGGTCAAGTATGATGAGACTGATATTAAGCTACATCTAATGGAATTAATCTGCATCATGATCTGGCGTTGTTTGGAGATTACCTCACGTGTAGTGATTCTGGTACTTTTTATTGGAGCTCTGAAACTGAAGAGCATGCCCCTTATAATTGTCTCGTTTTTAATATCACTGCTTATACCATGGGTGGAGTTTTTGATAAATGGAGCTCATCTTCCTAAAAACATTAACCAAATTGTCAGTCCAATGGGTAGAATACTGATACTTATTGTGATCACTGCACTAAATGCTGCAATCAACTTATTTTGCTGGTCAGGAGTGAAGCTACAATTGTCAAGTGAGAAATTAATTGATAAGAAACACATAATAACTCATAGAATCCTTCACTACGGCATTCGGCTAATAGAAAATGTAATAATGGTATTGATGTTTAAGTTTAGTGGAGAGAAATCTTTATTGAATTGCTGTGACTCATTAATTGCCACGCACCTCATTACAGTTTACTTATTATCAATGGGTTTTATGCTTCTCTTCTACCATTATTTGTATCCAGGGTGGTCAGATGATTCATCACTAGAAGAAATAGAAATGCGACGTATACCAATATGATGTTACATAAACTAAAGAGACAAGTCAATTCAAATAATAAAAATTATTAACTGAAAATTAACTATTAGTTCTGAGTTGATTTTTACTAGAAAATGGATTTCCATGGAAAAATGAACATTTTCATTTTGCTTTACTCAAATGCTTCTAATGGTAAATTCTACTAAATTTTCTTTCATTTAAAGCAAAAGATTGTAATCAGTTGCTAATAAAATTGATTTTTCTTCTGTAAGTCAACAGTACTTTAAACTGTTATTACTGCCAATCAAAAGGAATGTTTGTTTTCTCAAATATAATTATAGACTTAGCAAAAACAGACAAACCTGTATATTTTTCCAAACACTGTTTAGGACAAATAAGCATAATCCGTTTTTGCCTGCCACATCTTTAGAACCTTTATTTTTAATTAGACAAATAAGGTTTGCTGTTAAGCACATAAGTTATTTGTAAACATTAACCATTCAAAAAAAATACAACCGTATTATTACAGGTTTTATTATGCATATTTTAAAAACAACTTAAGCAGCAGTCTTATGAGGATAACATTTATATTTACTTAAGGTAGCAAAAGTTACTCCTAATTAAACTTTGATTTTTTAAAAAGCAATACCATGTTAATACATATTTTGAAGTACCAGAGTGCATTTATTGAGCAACTATAATGTTTAAGACACTGATATATACTGAAAATTTATCAGTGACAAATTAGAGATTTCCAGACTAGAAAATAGAGTAGATTATAATGAGAAAAATAAACCATAATACCATATAGAAAAAGAAATACAAGGATTCCGCAATGAGATGCATAAATTGAATTCGTTCCAGGAAGACAGAAAATTGGATAGAAGAAATGGGACTTAAAAGAGAATATGACCCTTTTTCAGGAGGCTCAGTTGGTTGGAGCACTCTCTGATACAGAAGTTTGCAGGGTTGATTACTGGTCAGAGCACAGAGCTAGGTTGCAGGTTTAATCTCTGGTCAGGGCACATATGAGAGCAACCAATTAAGGTTTCTCACACTGATGTTTTTCTCTTTCTCTCTCTTTACCTTCCCACTCCCTAAAATCATTAAAACATAGCCATGAATAAGAATTAAAGAAGAAAGAATATGATATTTTATAAAATTAAAGTATATTTATGGATTTGTTGATAAATGCATATAAACAATGTCATGTTCTATTTCATATACTATATGTATACAGCTGGAAAATAGATTTGAAGGGACAAAGTAGTGAGAGCTGATAACAAACAGATAGGTGAGTCTATAGAGGGAAACAATATATTATCACATTTTCAGCTCTTATAGATACAGAAAAAATGTCTCAGAATTATAGGTACCATAGTAATACATTGTAAAACACAAGGCCTTTGGCATTAAAAAGAAATGGTTATGATTTGCATGCCAGCAGGACCTTGCAGGGGACATTCACCCCTGGTGCTAGTGCCCCCGCTGACCCAGAGCACTTGCAGCTGACACTTGTGGGACCAGATTCATTAGGGAAGGGAGTACAACTCAGAACAGGGACAATCAAGATATGACCCAGCCTCTGGGCTAAGGAGTCCCTGACCACTGGACTACTGGGGCTTCAACCTCTCAGTCCTCAATCAGGTTGCCAGAGGCGGAAAGAGACAGTGACTCACATTGACCTGCATTAGAGATGCTCCCAGGAGGCCCAGGACAGACACACCAAGGGACCAGATTCAATAACATCAGAGCAAAATCCAGTTAACCCCAACCTCATTGTCAGCCGGTTGAAGGGTATATCCTTCCCACAAATAGAACATCAATAATCAAGCCCCAATTACAACAGAAGAGCCAAATAAAGAGCACAGGGGACATTCCTAGAGCATCCAACTCAGTTGAGCAAAGACACTGCATCACTGGGCCCCTCCAGACACTTTCTACATTAGGCATCCCACAAAGACTGGGAGGTATAGCAGTTTTATCTAATACATAGAAGCAAATACAAAGAGACAGCTAAAATGGGGAGACAAAGAAGCAGCCCCCAAATGAGACAAAAGAAGGAATCTCCAGAAAAAGAACTAAATGAAATGGAGGCAAACAACCTGTCAGACATAGAGTTCAAAGTTATGGTTATAAAGATTCTTAAAGAACTTGGTGAAAATTACAAGAGCATAAAAATGGCAATAGAAGATATGAAAGAGAACCAGACAGAAATGAAGAATGATATATATGACATCAAGAACACACTGGAAGGTATTAAAAATAGATTGGATAGAAGCAGGGGATTGAATCAGTGATTTGGAAGACAAGATAGAAATAAATACCCAATTAGAGCAGCAAATGGAAAAAATAATTAAAAAGTAGGAAAATAGCATAAGGGAACTCTGGGACAACATGAAATGTAACAACATACACATTATAGGAATACCAGAAGGAGAAGTGGTAAAGCAAGGAACACAGAACCTGTTCAAAGAAATCATGACAGAAAACTTCCCATCCTGGTGAAGGAAAATGTCACACAAATTCAGGAGGCACAAAGAGTTCCAATCAAGATGAACCCAAAGAGACCCACACCTAGACACATCATAATTAACATGGAAAACATTAAAAGCAAAGAAATATTCTTAAAGACAGCAAGAGAGAGAGAAAGAAAAATTACCTACAAAGAAATTTCCATCAGACTGTCAACTGACTTCTCAACAGAAACACTTCAGGCAAGAAGGGAGTGGCATGAAATACTCAAAGTAATGAAAGGCAAGGACCTAATTACAAGGATACTATATTTAGCAAGGCAATCATTTAAAATTGAAGGAGAAAAAAAGTGCTTTCCAGACAAAAGAATCATTAAAGAAGCTTAAAAAGTACATTACCACTAAACCAGCAATGCAAGAAATGTTAAAGGGATTGCTTTAAGAAGAAGAATAAAAGGAGAGAGAGATGATCATAGGCATAAAGAAAATAGCAATGGCAATACCATATAATAAAAGGGTAATATGCAAATTGACCCTAATGGCAGAATGACTGGTTGCTATGATGCGCACTGACCACCTGGGGGAAGACGCTCAGTGCAGGAGCTGCCCTTTGGTGGTCAGTGTGCTCCCACAGGGGATATTCCACTCAGCCACAGCCGGGCTGATGGCTGTGAGCACAGTGGTGGTGGCGGGAGCCTCTCATGCCTCCTCAGCAGTGTTAAGGATGTCTGACTGCAGGGAGTGCGCCTAAGCCATCATTGGACACCCCCCCAAGGGCTCCTGGGCTGCCAAAGGGATGTCTGACTACCAGCTTAGGCCCGATCCCCCGGGAGGCAGGCCTAAGCTGGCAGGTGGACATCCCCCGAGGAGCCCTGAATTGTGAGAGGGCTTAGGCTGGGCTGAGGACCCCTCTGAGTGCACGAATTTTCATGCATCAGGCCTTTAGTAAATAAATACATGTCAATAATAACCTTAAATGTAAATGGATTAAATGCTCAACAAAAGACATAGTGAATGATAAGAAAACATAACCCATATATATGCTGTCTACAATAGACCCACCTCAGATCAAAAGATACCCACAGACTGAGAGTGAAGGAATGAAAAATATATTCCATGCAAATGGAAAGAGAAAAAAAAGCTGGGGTAGCAATACTCATATCTGACAAAATAGACCAAACAAAGGCTATACCAAGAGACAAATAAGACCACTACATAATACTAAAAGTAATTATTCAACAAGAAAATGTAACCCTTGTAAACATATATGCACACAATATAAGAGCACTATAAAAACAACAACTCTTAATGGACTTTAAGGGAGAGATTGACAGCAGTACAGTCATAGTAGGGGACTTAAACAACCAACTGATGTCACTGGATAGATCTTTCAGTCAAGAATTGACCACACAACCACCCTAAACATGTAAATACGGCAAAAGCAGCCCTGAAAGGGAAGTTCATAGCATTACACGCCTACCTCAAGAAACAAGAAAAAAGACTAATGACCTATCTAACCCTAAAACTAAATGAATTAGAAAGAGAACAGCCAGAAAAGCCAAGATGAAGTAGAAGGAATGAAATAATATCAGAGTAGAAATAAATGACATAGAGATTAAAAAGAGAAAAAAAAAAAAACAGGACAAAGATCAATAAATCCAATAGCTGGTTCTTTATAAATATAAACAAGATTGATGGACCTTAACTAGACTCATCAAGAAAGAAAGACAGAGGACCCAAATAAAATCAGAAATGAAAGAGGCAATGTAACAATGGACACCAAAGAAATACCAAGAATTGTAATCAAATACTATGAGAAACTATATGCCTACAAACTGGACAACCTGGGCAAAATGGACCAATTCCTAGACACATACAACCTTCCAAAACTCAACCAGGAAAAATCAGAAAACCTGAGTGGGCCAATAACAACCAATAAAATTGAAGCAATAATTTAAAAACTTCCAGCTAATAGAAGTCCTGCGTATGATGGAATTACAGGAGAATTTTACCAAACATACAAAAAAGAACTAATACCCATCCTCTTCAAATTATTCCAAAAGAATTTAAGAGGAAGGAAAGTTTCCAAGCTCTTTTTATGAAACCAACATTATGCTAATTCCAAAACCAGATAAAGAAACTACAAAGAATAAAAATTACAAGCCAATCACCTTGATGAACATAGCTCTTAAAATCCGCAACAAAATATTAGCAAACTAGGGGCCCAGTGCACAAAAATTTGTGGACTTGGTGGGAGGGTCCCTCAGCCTGGCCTGTGCCCTCTCCCAGTCTGGGACCCCTTGGGGAATGACCACCTGCTGGTTTAGGCCCGCTCCCTGGGGAATTGGGTCTAAGCTAGCAGTCAGACATCACTCTGGCAGCCCAGGATCCTTCAGAGGATGTCCAGTTGCCAGCGGGGAGTAGGCCTAAGCTGCAGTCAGACATCCTTAGTGCTGCTGAGTGCATGAATTTTCCTACCACTGCCGCTGTACTGGCAGCCATTAGCCTGGCTTGTGGCTGAGCAGAGCTCCTCCATGTGGGAGCACACTGACCACCAGAGGGCAGCTC